TTTGAGGCACAACGGGAGCTTTTCCCCTGGGTCGGGGGGGGGGCTGTTATTTCCACTGAGAGCGTGAAGGAAGGGAAAAGCGGTTTTTAATGTGTCTTGTCGCCCTCCTGTGCGTGGGAGATGGGCTCGCGGTAGAAAATAACAATGTGAGGCGTGTGAGAGGGCACAGGTGTGCTGCATGACGGAAGGCCGAGCAGTAGGCCCCTTGCGGCCTGTGGCCATCTTCCCCCGGATGCCTGACCCTGAGAAACTCTCTTGCCCTCGCTCACGCGGGTGCCTGTGGCACTAGGCTTGTCAGCATCGCCCGTGTAAAGTCTTGTAAACGCCCCTGCTTTCCCTTTGATACAGTTTAAATGTACTGCTAATGCAAACGCATGCAGTTGTGGCTGATTATGCCATGCTTGAAACCTTTGTTTTGGTGTGTCAGCTCGAGCAAACTATAGCCTTAAGCTAGCCATTTGTTGTTTTTATAAATACAATTTACCTTGTGGTGTGTATCCAATAAAGTTATGGAAAAATGCAGCTTCCTCCCACTGCCATGAAAATGAGGTTACAAATGAAATGCCCTTAAAAAGTGGGCTTAACAAGTTGAACTTTTGTCATGCTTTGCAAGAACTGAAACTTGAAGTATAATTGTGAGGCATAATTTATGTTGATACCGTGTTCTGGTAATGTTTGTAATGACAATTTTTCAGTTAGTTCAGTCATTTGAGCCCGCCCCACAAATAATGTATGTCCTCTACAGAGAGGGCAGAATATGCTGTTTTTCGTCAAGTAAGTGAGTTCTATTTGTCTAAAAATCCCACTTAATACCAGTGTGGAGATAGTTCAGTACTTCCAGTTTTATTGCATTTCTTTTTTTTCCATAGTGTAAACGTGTCCATAATATTAATTCGGAATAGACTTTCCAGGTGTTGTGCTCTCTGTGATACTGTAAAATCATTCTCGAAATTGATAAGCAGGCTCAGAGGTAGTGGCTAAGGAACTGAGTGCTCGATGATAAAGTGCTCGAAGCAGTAGTCATGGTAGTGTGGCCTTCTTTACAGCTAATCAAATTGAAAATGTTAGTCATTGGTCTAACATAGAATTCCGTTTGCTTAGCCTGACTCCTTAGAAAGTCATTGTGGTGTTATGAAAGGCAAGTATTCTTAGATCCTGAATTCTCCCATACTGACAGGCTGTGACTTACAGTTTAGCCACAATGAGACGAAGCTCAAGTACTACCGGGAGTAGTAGTCGGCAATCTGTGATGGCACTGAGAGTACAGGACACCAACAAGATGGGTCTCCAGACACCTCAAATGTAAGTGTTACTGATCATGTTGCTAGGAGTAGGTCCATAAAGTTATCTCTGAAGAGACTTACTGTCTCTTCACTCTTGTGATATGTTTATGAGTAGGTAAGTAGCAACAGAAAAAGACGGAAGCAGCAAAAAGAAAACTGCCTGCAGCAAAGGATATCTGCACGAGTGCTCCTGTTCTGCAAAAACTGGTTTAACTTCAAACACATGCCTTGTACCTCTGGAATAAATGAGAGTTTAAAGTTCTGTAGGTCTGGTAAATACTTTCCTTGATGTTATAAGCTTTAAATGTCAGAACTGATGTCATCTATGTGCATGTGCAGGATGGTTATGTAATTACTCTAAGATCTAAAACTTTAATCTACTTGTATGCTCATGACACAATTTAAATTGTAATGCTTTTTTGACATATGTGTTGGCGGATATCTGAGTGTGTGTATATGTATAAAATGTATGCAAATAAAACTTCTTGCGGAAATATTTTTGTTAATGGGCCATGATGCATTAAAACCAGTTGACAACACCAAGATGCTGCTATGCTGAAGATACGTAGATTTAAATGCATGTGTTACAGTTTTCTTACATGAGCAAAAGATGAAGCGGTAGAAAAAGTAGTCACTTTAATCCTTCCCCCTCTTCCCCAGGAAAGACAGAGGAACATTTGGGAAACTGAGCATGAGCAAACCTACGTCTGGAACTTCTGAAAGAAAAGTCAGCTTTTTTGGGAAAAGGTATTGGTACCTTTAGATTTCTATGCTGCAAATTTAACAATAGCAGTTCCACAACATTTTGCAATTTTTGTCCGTTCTGAGAGATTTTCATTACAGGGAAAAATGGACCTGAGGACAAAAAATCTTCAGGTCTATCTTCTTCCACAATGTGATCACTAAACAATAATGCTGTGGAGCAGGAATAGCTTTGAGAGCTATTCCTCCTCTTGGGAATGATATGCGCTTCAGAACTTGCAGGGATGCTCAAAACATTGATTGACCTATTTAGGGAAGCATGATCCTCTTCAATACAGCCTTGGGAGATGTTTTTAATATGCAGGTTTTGATCAAGCTTTCCTACAGTGCCAGTCTGGCTGCCTAGGTTTATATTTTGTGTCTTCATTCAGAAAAAACAGATATCTTTATGCAGAAAGATTTAAAAAATGAGAAATCAAGACTAAATGAGGCACAAATCGTGCAAAAGAAGGATCACGTATGATATTCTCTGCTTTAGTTTCTTCTTCAGTCTAAGATGCAAGCCTATAGTCTTTCAGCTTTCCTGGCCTTCCAACAGGCCACGCGATCTGAATTCATGCCTTTCTGTGTTCTGATGTCTGTTGGCATCTCCTTTCATAGGACCCCACTGTTGCAGGGATCTGCCCCTTTTAAATATTTCATGAAAGCTAAAACATTTAAGAAGTGTTTACATCATTTTGTTTCTTCACCTTAGGGGAATTTTTCCACTCTTATAAAAGTCTGTTTCTCTCGATTAAACTGAAGAAAATATTCACTTAGGATGTAGTAACCTCACTGTTGTTGGTGGATTCCACTTGTTGATGGTTTTTTCTGTCATTCTAGTTCAAGAGAAACCTTCAGGTATCCCTGAAACATAAGGACAGCTTTAAAATATTCAGAGTTCTTGGCTATAGATATTGTCACAAGAATTGTATGCTTTTTTCATCTTAGAACTAGCAGTGTTGGAGGTTCACGCAACAGTCAGTATGGTGTGTTTGGTACAGAAAAGATCAAGGATCCCAGGCCACTTCATGACAAGGCATACATTCAACAATGTATCAAACAGCTTTGTGAGGTAACTTGTTCATTTTAAACATGTATTTTAAATTATTATTTAATTTATTTAATTTTATTATTATTCATTTAAACTATTCTTTTAAACATTTGTTTTAAGTGATAAAAGAAAGTAATCAAAACAGTTATTTTTCATGGCCTCAATTTTAGATTTTATCTATTGTCTGATTTGCTACTTAATGTGTATGTTTCTTTTTCTCAGCTTCTTGTTGAGAATGGTTACGCCCATAATGTCTCCGTGAAATCATTACAGTCTCCCTCTGTTAAGGATTTCTTAAAAATCTTCACCTTTATCTATGGATTTCTCTGTCCTTCTTATGAACTGCCTGATTCAAAATTTGAAGAGGAAATTCCCAGAGTTTTTAAAGAGCTTGGGTAAGATCATTATTGTTAGGTTGTTATGCTAAATAGATGTGGTACAGCTAAAAATTATAAAGCTAAGGGTTCTATATGTTTGCTGGGGAAAAGGGACAGGCTTGTTTATTAAGATTAGACTCTGAAGCTACAATGCTGTAATTATTTTGCTTTATTACTGGTAAGCTCTGACTTCAGCCTCTCGTTCCCAGACTTTATTATATATCTTCAATTCAAACATCTTAGAAGCTTACTTTGTAACGTACAAATAAAGATAGTTATTAGATTTTGTTAGACTTTGAGAAACCACTTTTCTGAATAAAAATTTCAGTTTTGGCCTCAGTTTGGCAGCCTAACTCTGGCTCATTGTGTTCAAATGCAAGAACTAAAAATGACTTCAAAATACTAGATTCTGTCCATTTAGTTTTAAATCGGATTTCCTGAAATTTCTCTCACTCTGCATTGAAAGAGAGGGAAATTAAAAAAAGCTAAAGATAAAATACTAAGTAGTTGAGTGTTTTATTTCTTGTTCAATGGGGTAAGTTTTTGGAATCATTATTGCACCAACGTTTTCCAAAAAACTCTGCCTGTTATTAAGGGTCATTTTTTTCAGTCCTGTGGAAAAGCAAACAGTATTTTACTTCTGTAGATTTCTTTGAGCCTATAATGTTGTCAAAGATTTCTATGATAGTGTACTTAGCTTACAGTACCAGGTCTCCTTAGCTGTGTATGTCTGTTCCGTTCACTTCTCAGTACTTTAAGAAGTTGTTTTAATCGATAACGTTTGAAACTGCTGATCTAGCTGAGGCATTGAAAAGAATGTTGCTCTCAAGAGGCCTTACTCTGCTCACTGAAAATGTAATCCTGGATAGAAAGACTTATTTGGAGAACTCACTTTAAGAAATCTTTTGAGAGTTAGAAAATGGACCTAAATAATTCATTTTAAAAAATCCTCAAGCTAAGTTCATGAGCGCTCATTTGGAACTGTCAGTTTATCATAGCTTTTTGTCCTATGTTTCTAAAATAACTTTCTGCAGCTGTCTGTCTAAAGTTGGATTAAAATTTGCACTTCTGTTCCTTGCATTTCAGAAGGCTTTGAGAGCCTGTTTGTAATTAGCAGTATAGCATCCGTGTTCCATATTTATAAGTAATATTAATACTTTGATATGCAGCTGCTCTGAAATGATGCCTCCTGTTTTTGCATAATAGTAATCTAATCATCAGCTGCTTTTTTGTTTTGAAAGCACATTTGGACCCCAAGAAGCAAGAATCTTGCCTTATAGAACAGGACTTCTTTGTTTCAGTTTCTCGTCTTATACGTCAGGAAATCCTTCAGGCTTGCACATCCAGTTTGAACAGAATCTAGGCATCCATTGGACTATTTTTTTCCCTCCTTTGCGTTCACCGCCTTTCCACTGAGGTCTCTGTCTCATTATGTATCACATCTTCATAGAGCTCCCACTCCTTTTCCCTAGCACCTAGAGGGTGTGCACATCTCTTCCTATAGTAGCTTCAGAAGGTGAAAGACAGATCTAATCTAAGGGCAGCTGGTACTAAGAGGGACAAAGCAATGTAATAAGCTAGCTAGGAAGCAGAAGATGTATCTAGGCAAAGGAGTTCATGAAGAAATAGTTCACACTTTGTAGGAGGCCTTAATTTTTCCTAATCTTTGCACATGCAACAAATATCCATTTCTTCATTTCCAAAATGAGAAACCCATCACAATGGAATTAAGCTGAGTTCTTACAGCACATCTCTTATTGATGTACAATATAAAGTGCAATTAAGTTTGTTCTTCCTTGTGTGCCTCAAAACCTACATGTAAAATTGTGCTTATTTGTTTCAGTCACTTTTTTATTCACAGCTATTAAAAACGTGTTTTCTTTTCCCTTGTAGGTACCCTTTTCCTTTGTCAAAAAGCTCCATGTATACAGTGGGAGCACCACACACATGGCCTCAGATTGTCACAGCTTTGGTTTGGTTAATTGATTGTGTCAAGGTAGCATCTGACTTCTTTAAGCCAAATAATCCAATTTTCAGACTGGAATGCTATTTTCCAAACAGATCTTTTAATAGCTTTCTAAAAATCCCTTTGCTTCTTATTTATGTGAAGAAAAAAGTAAGGATTCTTTGTTGCCGCTATGGAGATAGCCTTTAGCCTTACTTTTAGTAAACTTTAAAGTTTAATGTTTTCTAATGTGTAAACTGAAGTTTTTAATGCTATACTGTGATTTTTTTTTTTTAAACTACATTCACTGGATAAATTTTTGTATGAGAAACAAAAATAATTTATTGTATATACATACTTAAAAATATCATGAAAAATTCACAGGTATAATCAGGATGATAATCATTTTAAAAATGTATTTTCAGTGAAGAAACTTATTGTGACACCTGCCTTATCCTAAATTTAAAGTTGAAGGATGCAATTTTCAGTAGCAACTATTCAAGTGTTTAGAATGTATTGTATAGAATGAGTTTTTTTGTATTTTCTTTATCGTGATAACTCACAGTTGCTGTCAATTCAGGTCTGAGCCAAATTTGGAATTTATGCCAGAAGTTCACCACTGCTTAACTGGGCACATTTGAACATCTTGCCTTTTTTGCTGGAAAAAATACATGTGACTTATCAAGGCAATTTGGCGGTGTTGACTGTCCAGTTAGTGCCTCTTCCTCTGTGCTTTTAGTCAATAAAACACAATAGCTTGCTGTGAAGCAGCACCATTACACCTTACTTGCTGAAATACTAATCCAAAGTTACTCTGCTGGTCACAAACATGCAACTGATATGAAAACTTATCAACATAATCAAATTTGTTCTTTGTGTGTATGTTTATGCCTTTTAGCTGTTTTCTGCCATAAGGGAAAACGCACCATCGTTTGATGATGGACAGAGCTGGGGAGGAGAGACAGATGACGGAATTGTACATAATAAGGTACCGTAAAAAAGTAAATGACTGTCGTAATTGTTCAGTTGAATGTTGCCATATGGTGTAACTAAACAATTTAAATATATACAATATGTGACTTCAGTCTTCTAATGTTAGCAGTAGTACAGTGTGACTTCATTGTAAAGTAAATGTAATGGCTTCAGTTGGCATCTTCTTAGTTTGCCGTGTAGAAAGCAGTGGAGATGTTGAATTTCTTAACTGTGAAATAGACCAGCAATTTAAGTTTAGCACTTAAAAATTCAGTAGTTTTTTGTGTGTGTGTGTGTTTGTTTTAACATATTTGATAGTACTATCCAGGTTTAACCTTAAGTGTTAACTCACAGCAGATGTTCGGAAAGATTGTATGATGTGCCAGAACATTTCAGAACAGTTAGTGAACTGCAAAAATTCAAATTAAAATGGAATTTTGGACTAAGGTTACAAACCTGGCAATTGACAAGGAGAAATGCTTAAACTAAATGTGTACATAGGTCTTGTGTGTACGCGTGAGTGTATATTTGTGTGTTGAAACAAAATTTACAGTACTGGCTTAATTCTTTCTGCAAGACCTGAAATTTAAAGAATCCAGCAAATTATCCTTTTGAGTAACCTTCTTTTAATTCTAGCATTAATTCTCTAACACCTGTACATCTGAAGTATAGTGTTCATGTTTACTGAAGGGCTCCACTGAATAGAGCTACTGTTCCTATAAACTTAGAGGATCATATGGTCTAAGGTGATAAATTCTTAAATATTGTATCTACTATCCTGATTAGGTAACCAAATAAAATCAATCAAGTGTTTCTAAACCTTTTTTAATAATTCTAGATGCAACCTCTTGTCTGAATATCATCTGCCAATGCTCTGTTCTTTTAAAAAAAGAAAACAAACAACCAGAGATGCCCATAAGTAGACCTTTTATAGAAAGAAGTGCAGTCGAATGGGTACAAGATATTTTTTCACCTCTATATAATTCCATTGGTTGAGTAGATTTGTACTGTTTAGCTATTTTACAGCCCTTTGAATCTTCATGAAAGCCTTTTAAATTGTTTTTCAGCTTTTCATGGACTACACTGTGAAGTGCTATGAGCACTTCATGAAAGGGGGAGATACTTTTGAAGAATTTGATGCAGAAGTGCAGTCAAAATTAAGTAAGTTTTCATGTCTTAGCAAAGTATTTGTGTTACTTGTTTGTAAACTGGGCAAGCCTGATGCTAGGAGAAAAGAAACAAGTGTGATCTGAGGTGAGGAAAGCTGAAATTCCCAAGTGGTAACCTTAGTTACACTGACTTAATTCTGTTTTATGCATTGTTATCAATACAGATAGACAGGTCGCACTCTGCTGTCAGCTGCACCTGTGTAGGCCTGTTGTTTTCAATGACTGTAATGATAGAAAAGCAGTATGCAGGTCTTCTGGTGCAAATTCCACCTATGCAGATCATTCTTGTTTCTGAAAGAGTGGAAAAAATTGTCACTAAAGGCTGCAGATTTGATGAGTAAGAAAGTTTGGTTCCTTCAAAAAGCTCTGAAAACAGTCTGTAAGAGTTCCATACCCTATTGTGAGGATTCCTAAGTATGACTCAAACTAGCACTTTTATTTGCCTTCATAGAGCTGGAAAATGAATTTTTTGGACTCGTTCATTTCCTCACCTACAGAAACGCAACAGAGAATGTGGGAACAGGGAGGGAAACTAGTTCTCGCCTTCTGGGCCCTCTTAGGGAAAGCAGACTAAGGACCCTTCTATTGCTAGCAGGAACAATCAGTTGGAGAGGTGGCATAAATTCCCAGGCAGAAAGATGTTAGTAGAAAAAAGTCTTCATGCCGTTGTTTGGCAGACTGAGGGAATTAAGAGAAAACATGGCTTAAGATGCAGCGTACTACACGGGTGAAAAAGAAATATGTAAATGAGACTACTCTTGAAAAGCTGGAGCAGATGAAACTTGTGTAACAACCACTATGCTACAGTGTGGGCTGTATAAGAATTTGAAAACTCTGATGTCACAGCAGTGATTTTAGCTTTTGTATGACTACAAGACTGACAAACTTCTTTGAATTATTTTGTTTATTTGCTTTGTAATGAAAGCTGTTAATATACGATGGGTTTTAGTTTTCAGATTTAAAAAAAAATGCTCAGATAACAGGTATTCGTTGTGCTGAAGCTATAGCAATTACACAGGCATTCAGTATAGATGATGGTATTCAATGAGATTAACTTATATCACTTTTTTTTCCCCCTTTAGAGGATTTATTTAACATAGATGAATTCCAGATAGATGGTTTAGCTGCAGAAAACAAAAGGCTTCATGAAGAGATTGCAAGACTAGAAAAAGAAAGGGAAAGTGAGCCGGTTAGTAAACTGTCTGTGCTTGTATATGGGGGGCGGAGGGGCAGAGACCTGGCTTAATTTTCAGTTATTGACTGTGGAGGTCCTCTATCCTATTCTGTAGCAAGATACCGATAATACATTATGAAAAATGGAAAATTGTTTTCAGTGTTCTAGAAGGTTCTAATTAGCCCTGGTTATTACAGACTCTGGGCCACTGTAGTAGAACACGTTATTGTGAAGTCTTCGGTCACTGGTTTGACATTGTGCAGATATTTTCAAATTATGAGAGCTTGCATTGGCTGTAATCTTAATGAAATAATTGAACCATTATTTATCTGGACTTCAACAATATCTCTTCGAAATATTTGTAGGAGAACTTTTTAAGGGTTGGGAGTATGGAAAACAGTGGTAACAATCAATCAAAATATATTTTGAGGAAAGTATTGTGTTTGAAAAGACGGTTTCCGTTTCTAATGCATCATTAAATTCAGAACAGGTTAGTGGCTGCGCAGCTGGCAGCTTGAGACTCCAGCCTGCACACAAAATGTGGTGGTTTTATTCCTAACTTTCCTTGCCCTTAATTTCATCTGCCCTTTGCGTATTGTTGTGATACTTCTGAATTACCTGCATCAAGAACTTCATTTATGCAATGCCTAATGCAAATCAGAAAGGTCAAATACTAAAATGGAAGAATTAAGATGCAAATCATCTTTTCAGCCTCTTTTTATTATTAACGACTCAGACTTGAGTCAGATGCCACAGATGTAAACACTGAAGAACTTTAATTAAATTTTTATTTATACTACTAAGGTTGACGGTAATTATTCTATTGTCCTGTCTGGAAAGTAAAATAATTACTGTAGATAATAAAATAGTGGTTGTTCTTTCCGTCTGTTGACTAGGATCGTTTAGTATCACTGCGAAAGCTGAAATCTTCATTGCAAGCAGATGTCCAGAAATACCAGGCTTATATGGCAAATCTAGAGTCTCATACAGCCATTCTTGATCAGAAAATGAAAAGTGTTAATGAAGAAGTTGAGACAGCAGGTGAGAATGGTCCTGGTCACAGATGATTGGTGAAGCTAGAAATAGCTTTAAAAGTATTTTATAATTCTCAGCCTCAGGACAGAGTGAGATACTTGGTGTACCGCGATTGTACAAATTGACTTTGTTAAATGAATTTCTAATAAAGAGATTTTTTGGCTGATAGCCATTTGTACACTAGAGAAATGAAATGTAGATAACTACTCACCAAAATATAATGGATTGGGTAAACTATATAGGCTGATATTTTACATCAGTTTTATGAATGTTTTACGAACTCAGAAATGGAAGTAGAAGCAATGAAGCAGGAAAATACTCGACTCCAGTACATCTTTGATAACCAGAAGTACTCGGTTGCTGACATTGAGAGAATAAATCATGAGAGGAATGAGTTGCAGCAAACCATCAACAAACTGACTAAGGAACTGGAAGCAGAAGAACATCAGCTGTGGAATGAGGAGCTAAAATATGCCAGAAATAAAGAGGCGGTATGTGAAAATACTGCTATTCTGAGAGGCAGCTATCAGTTTTCATCATACAAAATTAAGCTTGAGACTTGGACTATTGCTAACTTCTTTCCTAAATAATACAACAATAGCATGGATGTCTCTTTACAGCCTTAAAAAATGATAAAAATTGATTTCTATTTATATTCTCTCTGAAAAGTTTTCTTTATTCTGTTTTGAGTGTAAGGAAGATGTATTCTTTCTATGTTTTTCTGCACCATCAGGGACAGAGCAAGAAATGTGCATAGCTGTCAGCTTTCACTGTTAAAGCAGCAACAGCTTTGATAACATTAGCCTGAAATTGCTTGTGTTCAGATTTCATATCAAAGAAGTAATGTAAAGCTAGTGCTTCGGATCGATATGTCCACGTGCATTTAGAGCCACATGGGTCCCTTGTGCGGAATTTCTATTATAAAACTTCTTAAGGAACAAATTCATTCCCTCATTTTACAGAGTGAAGAAATGTGTCCCTCTAAGTGGCAGGATTTAAAAGCTGCTACTTTGCTAAACAGAGAATTAAGTAACAAATGTTTTGCGTTTGGCAGGATTACAGTTTATCAAGCACTTGATATCATCTTAAATTGCTCTTAGTATACAAGTGTGAAGCACATAAAACTGCAAAAGATATCTTGCTTGATATTTGCATGTAAATGGCACCCATGGATCAGAAAATACACCATTTTCTAAGCTATGTCCGCAGGTATGCCCAAGTTAAAATATGTTATTAGGAAGTGTACGTACATCAGGTATTTGCCACCAAAGCTAATGAGAGAAGGAATATCAATATGATGACTACTCATTCTTTTAGTAATTTGTAGTATTTTCAAATGTACTTATCCTTCTCTATCAACTAATTCTCAAAAAGTTGAGGTAGGAAAAAATACAGCAGATGAGTAGAGAAAATTGCATGTGAAACCTCTCAGAGCAAACTCTGAAAGCAACATAAAGCCACGTTTAAACCAAAAAATGCAAACTTCTGAACTGTAAATACTTACAGCTCTTGCATACTGTGACATGTCCTGGATACATGTTCCTAAAGAGCAATTCAGACACCCGTTTAAAATATCATAAAAATACTTTTTGCGAAGATTTTCACTTGTATTTTCCTAAGATTTTGTTCTTTCTCTTCTGAATAGATCGAAACACAACTGGCAGAGTATCATAAACTGGCTAGAAAGCTGAAATTAATTCCAATAAGTGCTGAGAATTCCAAAGGCCACGACTTTGAGATTCAGTTTAATCCTGAGGCAGGACCAAATTGTCTCGTCAAATATAGAACTCAGATTAAGGTAAGTAGTGCCAAGTGCACCAACTGTTTTTGTTAACACTGTGATAAAAAATATATTTCAAAGTGTTCTTTGGAAGTGTTGGGAAGGCCACTCTTAAACTTTCCGTAAAACTTCAATGAAAAGCTTCTGTGATGAACTGATGTAACTGTGTTGTGCTATTGGAAGGAAATTTGGTATCGGAAGGTACAGCAGCATAAGTAGAAACTAGAGAGAGAAAAGATATACTGGGATACCCCTTAATTTACACTAATAATCTGGCTAATGCAATTTTTCTTGCATGTGTGTTACAGGCTCCCCTTATGGAGATCATAAACCAGACTGAGGAAGAAATTAGAAAAGCTACTCACCGGAAAATGGGTTTGGAAGATACTTTAGAACAGGTTTGTTTTGGTTAATGAAGATGAGGATCAAGACACCATAATGGTATCTGCTAGTCTCACTGGACCTTTTGGACAGGTGGAGTGGGTTTTTTGGGAAGTAGTAAGAGGATTGCTTGAATTTTGATGGAGCCTAAAAGCTTGAGGGTCTCTCTCTGTTAGCTGTAACAAGGTGTATTGAAGATTATGCAATTACACGTACCTGATAACCATAAGCATTGGAAATATTTGTTTTTAATAAGCTGCCTATTCCAATCTGGTTGCCTGGCTTACCGTCACTAAGGAGTTGTCATCAGGAAGATTTCTAGCAATATGGGATTCAGGAGGTGCTGAAACAAGGAAAATTTCTGGTCAGATAGCATGCTTCAAATGGCAGCGTACCAGCCGCAAAATTACTGTCACCAGGAAATATTTAATGATCTTAAATTTTATACTAATTTTTGTATGGAGATTTCTAAAAAGCCGTTCTCATTGGAGGTTACAGGTTACTCTTTCAAAAGGTATAAAAGTCCCTGGAAAGCTTTTTGGAAAGTGAGTATGATTAGGTTGAAACCAAACTTTGAGACTGAAGTGTTGAAAATATGTTAATGTATTTTTCTAAACCATAAATAATTGACGCTGAAAACTTAGAACTCTATATTCAAAGCTTAATCTTCTAGAAAAACTGCTATTTCCAGCACAAGATCCTTTACAGGTAATACAAACTTTTATTAGCATTGTATGCACTGAAGATAATATATTTTTTCATCCCTCTCTCCTTGGAAAATTAGGATTATATGGCACAAGGTCCAGCTGTATAGATACCAAATGGCACTTAACAATTCTTTATATTTGCACATAATAGAAATTATTTTAAATATGCACTTCCAGTTTAAATGAGTGCTTCTTGACTATCACAGCTGTTGTCTGTGATGGCATGAAGTTGTATGTTGGATTTCTTTTTTAATACTTTTTCTTAATCACATCCTTATTTCTAGGTGAACACAATGATAGAGGAGAGGAAAAGCAGTGTGAAAATGCTGAAAGAAGAAGCTGAAAAACTGGATGATCTTTACCATCAGAAGCTTAAGGTAGAACATTTTTATAGGTTGATGACAATGAAGAATTTATCCTTAATGAAAAGTTGTGCTTTAGATTTTTTTTTTAAGTTTATGACAGATCTTATTTTGATATAGTTCCTTTTGTATTTATACATTGTGGGTTTGGGAGGAGGAGGATTTGGGCATCTGTCCTCTCTTCCTTCCACCCATCTTGTCTTAGATATCGGAGAACAATTTCCACGATTCCTCTTTCTGAGAAGCTTAAGCCAATTTTAAATTAACAATCAAGGCATAAGAAAGCTTTTATCTCTACACAGGTTGTGTAACAGTTTCCTTAGAGAATGCAGTTGCTAGAGAATGTTACACTAGTCTATTGAGATTTGAATGAAATACTAGGTCTGTGCAAATAGGTAAGTCAGACAAAAAGGAAAAATTTGTTGTTTGCAGGCTGCTTAGTTCACTTATTTTTTTCATGATGATCTTGTGTTATTTTGCCTTTCTGGGGCATAGGTCACCATTAGGTTGTCTTCTTGCAGATGATGCAATAATGCTCTTTCATTCTCTTCAGAAATATTTCCTATCATAAGAGAATCAGTTTCCTTTTTCTGTAAGACAATTTGGTATCTTTCTTTGCCAGATCCTGTAAATCGTGAGTTACTATATCCAGTCACAGAAGCAGCCACATCCACCTGTTGATCTCAATGTCTCAAAGCATGTGCTTGAAGCAGATTTCTGCCTTGTTTACTCAGTTTAGGATATAATAAATACAGTTACAGTTTGTACTAAATGTGTTGTTTTCTCTGATTTTAATGTAGTAACATTATTTGGCTAAAAGCACATGTTAAATGTTTTAGTATTAATGATATAAAATTGTTTTCTTTGTTTATTTCCTCTCCCCACCAAGGGGCTGCAGTCCCTTTCCTTTTCCTCACCTTTACTTTTGGTTTAGCAACAAAACATCGCCCTCCCAGTTAATAACTAAGTGGCTACTTCAACACCTTTTGAGTTCTTTAACAGCATGTCTTTTGAGATTTTGAGGGGGCCACAGTGCTCAGGAGAAAAATCCTGTTTGAACTAAGCTGACGTTTAAAACGTTTGCTCTTTCACATCTAAACTTCTGTGATGTAACCATAAAACAGAGGGCTGTATCACTGCTAATACCCTGCTTAGGTTACTGAAGGCAATTGATTTAGTTTATTGGTTTCAAACACACCTGAAATACATCTTTTAATGGTTGTCATGCATATTTCTTCTCTGTTAAGGTAGGCTCATAAAATAAGTAATAGCTAGTGGACAGTTTGTAATGAGACAGTCATGTAATTTTTCCTATAACTTAAAATGCTATCCGTAAGTGAAATTACTGAAACATCATGCTTCAAAAATAATTATGTTTAATACTAAACTTTACCAGAACTGATTGTTTAGTGATGGTAGAACTCATTTAGCTTCTTTTGTGCATTTAAGAGTGTTAATGTATACTGTCAGCAGTGTCATTCTCCTTGGAAACATAACTGGATATATTTTGTATGCACCTTTCAGAGCCAGAAGGGAAAAGTCTTTTTCATTCAAAGTGGATTTAAAAAAAAAAATAGCCTGTGATGTTCCAGCTATTTAGAGAGTAATCACATAAATTACATTTTGTTTTCAGATGAACTCTAAATAGAAGATAGCTGCAACACACACATTGAAATGATGATGGTGGAATAAGGGGAAGGTTAGATTGGTTTTGACTGTAGGACAATACAGAATTTTTAATTTGGAGTGATAAGTGTGGAGTTACTTTTGTGGTGAATTCCTAATTCAAGTATCAGGATGAGTAATATTCAGAAATAAATTTCCTAGTCAATCCTAATTTATGTCATATTTCTCTTTGCTATTATTTACAGGAGGCAGAAGAAGAAGAGCAAAAATGTGCAAATGAGCTGGAACTGTTAGAGAAGCACAAACACTTACTTGAGAGTGGTGTCAATGAAGGTCTCAGTGAAGCCACAAATGAATTGCATGATATTCAGCGACAGTAAGGCCCATAACATTAAGTTTTGGGTTTTACGGGGTGGGTTTGTTTGTTTTAAGGATAAAGAGATTCTCTTAAGTTCTAATATATCTAGTATCTTATAAATGAATATCTAAAATTCTTTAGTGAGCAGGTACTCATCTCAGTGTACTAGTGTCACAAATTTATATTTGAACAATGTTCGTTGTAGACACCTAATATTTTCTTAGGAAACTTAAGAAGTCTGTTCTGTCAGTGCACTCTTGTTTTCCACGTACCTTTATAATATGTATGGTTGTAGTAAGGATATTAGTTTGTCTCCAACAAACGTACTTGATGACTGCATTATACACGTTAAAATCTGGAAAGACTACACTGACTCAAAATATAATACTCTGAGGTACTCTTTTCTCATGTTGATTAGCACAGTGTGGTCCTTTTTCTTCTAAGTTGGGTATTAATAAACAAATGTAGCCTGATCTAATTTAATGAATTTATGAATACTCTGACAATGTATACTACTTCATAAAGAGATTGTTTCAGCTGTCAGGAATTTTACAGTGTGACTTTCTGAGGGCCTTTACTTTTTAGATACCAGGTTGTTATGCAAACAACAACTGAAGAGAGCAGGAAAGCGGGTGATAACTTGAATCGTCTTCTAGAAGTGATTACTACTCATGTAGTATCTATAGAGGTAAGCTAAAATTTTATATTCAGAGTGAAATCTTTCTAGAGTTATCTATGCAATTAAATGTGTGGACATTAGAACTTACTCTTTTCACTAAAGTATCAACTATTGGTGCTACACTGAGTCTGTGGATTCTGGTAAATAAATTTGTTGACAAAACATTTGGTATAAATAATCGGCACTAATCATTAAATGTCAGTACTTGCATCCAGTCAGCTTAATCTTCTCTGAAAGACACAGAAGTACTTGAATATTAGCACTTAACCCATGCAATGATGATTTAAAATGCTTTAGTAGTAGCAGCAGTACCATAGAGACACTGTAGTTCTAATCAACTTTCTATAACTCACTTCTAGAAATATCTTGATGAACAGAACGTGAAAATTGACAGAGACTATGAAGAATTCATGTCTGAAGATCTATTGTCAACCTTGACCAGAATTCTAGACAGCTACAAAAGGAAGGCTGAAAGTGTATAATTACCAAAAGATGAAAATTTTGCATTTGTGAAGCTCTGGTATGGGATCTCTTAAAGGATGGCCACTTCCTTTGCTTATCAGCTAAATTGGTTTTAAGTTTAAAGAAGTGTTTATGAACTTCCTTTGAATGACATAAATATATTAAAGGATTAAACAATTTGTTTGCAAGTTTTTTTTTAAAAGGCTTTGTTTATACTTTCTCCTCACAGTGTATTTATGGAAGATTACAAATGTCTTGACAAGACATGACAAGACAATGACAAGAAAATGACAACAAAACTGTGGAACAACTTAATTTTTCTTTATAACTGTGCTCTACTAGGAATACTCAACAGACTGACTGTATTCTTGCCTTACTAAAATAATAAGCCAGAGTGCGCTCAGAGATGGGACTGCAAGTGACAGCACAATGCAGAGGGTACTGTCGATTTGAAATACTGCTATTCAACAATAACTACCTAGTAATCTTACAGGTTTACAAAAAAACATTAATAAGTGGGAAAAAGAGTACGCTTTCCTTTTTGGGGTGTAGTTTGTACATTTGGTAGTACATATATAGTACACGTTTAGACTGACAATGCATGTCCTTCCCAAAGCCTTCAAGAAAGTTCATCAGCAAGACTAAAGGTAAATGTTTTCCAGTCTCCCACCTATTTGCGATTATCTATGAAACTGCCCAGAGACAGTGATTTAAAAAAAAGGAAAGAAAAGCCAAAGCTTCTTTGGAAAGATGAGCAACAGTTATAGAGCAGTCTTGTCTATGTCTAAAGAATAAAACTTTGTTTTCAAACTAACTAATCTTTTATCTCTAACTGGTCATGCTCCCAGATGAAACCTTAATGTACTTCCTTAATATGTGTACCAGAGAGAGCTGTAGGTAGGACAGCATATGAATTCTAGCAATAGAGTTAATCACTTTTAGATGTAGTTAATGTTGAATACATCAAAATATTCAAAAATGAGCCTTTTGTTGTTAAGCTGGTAGGCCAGAATCTATCTGATTTTCTTCCTTAATAAAGCAGCAGTAAAGTTAGCGTACAGGGAGATCTAGTCCAAATACATGGAAGAAAATGTAACCGCATCTCTTTACATGAACTTCTGTTTCCTGCTCAATGCCACGTTGCGAGTGGAAGTAGTATCTGCTTGTCTACTCTGTATAAACACTTCTTTTTTTAAAGTAGCATGTATTGCCTTGGACAATTTAATTTATGATGGTATTTCCTAATTAAAATATTGAGGTATTTGAGGTTTTGACTAGAGTTCAATGATAAATATCATTGATTCAAGCACACAACAATAAAAAAACTCTGCAGTCTGTTCAAGTGGTGCCTATGCTTATTGAAAGTTTAGAGGCCAATACCTCAAGAAAGTTACTCATTCATTCTACAATTAGACAAAATATTTGAGTGAAACACAGATCATGCAAACACAGATGCACAACTTAACCTCTGAAAACAGACTGTTGTCTTTATTTTATTTTAATTTTAATCTCTCACAAACTGAGTTGTCTTTAATTCTAGACAATTTGTTCAGTGTGTATAAAATTCAGTTGTCCTTAATACAGTATGTGAATCTTTGACTCCAGTACGAGTATTTTGTTTCAGCCATTATGCTAACGACGGCTGTAATTAAATTTCTAAGTTTCTGTTCTTCTGTTACTCTCCAGAAATTGAATTTCACAGCTATAAAAGCTTTCTAACAAGCAGAGTAGTTCTGCTTTTTTGTTATCCTCTATAACTTTACCTTTGCAAAATCTTATTTTTTTTAACAGCTTAACTCTTATCAAATCTCAGTTCCCTCTCTTTAGAGGTTTCTTTTGTGAGCTTTCTAACACTTTTGTGTTCTCTGCAGCAATATCCTACTTAATTAAACAAAAGTGTGAAACATATACAGAACAATCATCATGTGGCTTTTTTTTTTTAATAAGTGCTCTTTTAGGGACTACGCTTTTTCTTGGCTTTCCGATGCCCGTTTTTTCTCTGATTCTGTAACAGACTGTCCTTGTGTGTATTAGCATCTGTAGCTTCTTTGCCATGTGACCTTTCTTCATGTATGGGTGAACGTAATACTCTGAAATTAAAATAGTCTGAATAGTAAAAGTCCACATTTGTAATGTTAGCAACATGTTTTTATTTTTAGGCTAAGCTACGGGCCCATATGTCACGTTAACTGAATTGACTTCAGAATCAGCTGAGGCACTGACCTAGGTTCTGTAAAATACTATGGGGATTTTTTGTCACAATATAACTTATAGCTGTTTTGTTTTACTAACATCAGCTGATGTCTGCTAGGTAATACTTCAGCTTTTAAAACAGAGGGTATTTTTCAGCACTTCTTTAATGTAGAGCTTCTGTAGGAGTTGGCTACTTAATTATTTCTTAAATTGTTTGCTATTCAGTTATTTTTTAATTACATTTGTGTAATAGAATTTCTACCACCTATCTGGAAGGTTTGCAAGCTAGCTGGTGGACTTTATTCATCTAAAGGAGGTCTTAATCTGGAACGTGGCTTTTTAATTTATGCAATAGACACTAGAAAATAATTACTGCTCTTAATGTAGGAGGGCTTTTTTTTTTCTTTTAATTGGAATGTAAGATCTTAATCAGAAACATCTAGCGCTGGTACCTGCATATTTCAGTGGTATGAGTAGTTTGTAATTTTTTGGCTTTTGTATAGATACCATTCCCCCATTTGTTGCTCAGGTATCCATTGTACAGTTTACCTGCATAATATGCCTTAAGTCTATGTATTTTATATTCAATAAAACTTCTTTAAAACTTATTTCTTTGAAGGATGGATTCTTACTGGAAAGATAGAAGCATGACATAATAAGCACATTGAATCTGATTTTCCTAAAGAAACTATGTAGATTAATGATTCTCTAGTAGCAGATATTAATTCCCTGACTATCCTCTCTGTTAAACATGTGTGGGTATGAACTTTTTACAAATACACAACATTTCTCAAATAGGAAACTATAAATTGCATAAGCAGGAAAATATGTCTTTAACTTTTTAAAATAGAAGTCTTTTTTTTTAAACGCTAAGAAATAGAGGTGCAATATACTTTGACAATCAATTCATGCACCTAGGTATCCCTTTGATATTAAAGAAATATTATCCTTGTTAATCTTCCCAACCAACCTCTTACTATCTTAAACAATAAAGGACTACTTTCTTTACGTGACCACAGTTCTGATTTTTTTTTCTTACCTATCTATCTTAAAAGTAGCACTTGAGTATTGTAGAAGCATGGCAGAGCTTTGTGTATAGCTTTGTTCTCAGCCCTACAGTATGTAATTTTTCACATTTTACTGTCAAAAACTGGTATCGCTGTCAAGAACTAGGTAGTTTTGGAGTACTTTTCCTTGGGTGATCGTAGGAGCCTGACGAGGCTTTTTTTTTTTTTTTTTTTTTAGCTTGGCAACATCCATTCAGTTCCTATTGCAAGGCTATTCAGACCATTCTCCAAGTCCAGAGTCCTTCATGCCAAAATAAATGCTTTGATTCTATGCAGAGGGAGGGAGATTTTGTGGGCAACGGTACTGATTTCTTCCTATGTCTACTCTAGATTGTTTGATATGTAAAAATTTTGAACAGTGCAATAATTTCTGAAGAGACTAAATAGAGTACCACTTATTCTTGGAAACCTCAATGTCTCCTTTCAAGTTGCTGAATTTTGCTCTTTTGATAGTAGTATAGAACAAGGCATTGGTCTGCTTTCTCAATGCTTGATCTCCAGATTTTTTGGTTCTGAAAGGATTGCTGTGTGATGATCTTTGTGAGTTTTTTCCTTACCACGGTCCTGCATGCTGGAGACTTTTGTATTGGAGTTCTGTATTTTTACATGCTTTTGAGAAGACTTTGATGGTAAATAGTAGCCTTTGGTTTTTGAAACCTTTTCCAAGAACAGAAGGCACATAGAAGAGAAGTCTCATATGGTTCTTGGCTTCCTCACTATATGAGAAAATATTGATCCCCTAGCCATTGCCACATCAGAGGGGCATCTTCAATCGTATATTAGGAGATAGGCAGAGACTGCTCAGTCAGTCTGAGAAAACTTAAATAATTTTACAAACTTCTGTAGGCAACTTGCTCTGCTAGTTCATGGGATTGTTCTGGCAGATGTCAATTTGCATCAGTAAACAGCAAGATCCAACAGAAGAGCAGAGTATCTACGTGCCATTTTGCTGCCTGTTTTAGACTTACAGATAGATTAGGAATTTACTCTTAAGGCAATTTTTGAAGGAGATAATTTCCCTTAAAGTGAATAAGTTTACAGATTTGACGAGCAGTAGTAAGAGGGGAATAAAAGGAGTTTGTTTTCAGAGGTCAGGTAATAGTAACGATGGTTGGCAAAGAAAAGACTGTGGGTATCACTTTTCATTCTATGATAATGTCAGTTACAAAGCAGTTGTTGCTGACATCAGATATTTGAGGAAAACCTGGATAAAACAATCTGTTGGTTAGTGGTCTTGGGATCATTTTGCGTTTATAAAGACTGCATAACCTGGCACAAAAGAATGAAAGGACAAATCCCATTCGCAGCTACGCAGAAATCAGCTCCATGAATTCCTGCT